ACAACTTTTTGTTTAAATACTTCTATTTGGAAGACATGGCTTCCAGTTTGGTGCTACAATAGATAGTGGTCTGTATTTTACCATTTTGCTCAGCACAGTGTGAGGCCTTCCTCCAATTTAAATATCACTTTCAGTAGAGGAAAAGCCCCTTAAGTTGGAGGAAGTCTCCGTAGGCCAGAGGAAGGCTTCAAAAGTTGCTGAGCCGGAGGGGTTGGAATACGGTCCCACCAGGATTCCTAACAGCATTCTCAAAACTTTCATGTTGGGCTAAATTGCCCTGCTTTTGTACTATTTGAAATGCGTCTTTTCCAAAATAAATGGCTGAATTTGCTGAGCGTGCTGAGATTTTTTTTAATGCACTAAAACTTTGATTTAACAAAGGTACTGGGTTTTAATACATTGACGGTGTGACTTGAAGCAATAAATATTTTATATGTAATACATAATACAGTGTGGGTTTTATTTATTTTATTTTTTTATTCCGCCCTCCCCAAACGGGCTCAGGGCGGATCGCAACAAACAGAGTCAAGACTCATTACAGTGAAATAACATTACATGAAAAGCGTTAAAACAGTAACATTCAGAAGTATTAACAAATTACATTAAAGACTGTTAATACTACGTAGATGGAGAGAGGGCATTTCAGTAAATTGGGAACTAAAGCAAGGGAGGCCAACTACGATGGATGGATGCCCGAAGGCCTGGCAGGAACAGCTCCATTTTGCAGGCCCTGCGGAACAAAAGACGGTCCCACGAGGCCCTGATCTCCAGTGAGAGCTGATTCCACCAGGCCGGGGCCTCCGTGTGTGTTTCCTGTCTTGCTCAATTCAAGCATTTGGTGTCCTTCCTTAATTTGTTACCCAGCCTTATTTTTTCTTCCTTCTCCCATCAAGCACAAGGCTGCAATCCTGGAATGAAGAGGAGTGCATTTTTAAAAGCTAGGTCAGTCCCTGAAAAGAGTTGGTCCCGGTAGATAGTGAGCTAACCTGATCTATACAAGGGTCCCCAGCATCATTCCTGTGGGCACCTGCGGACACCTTTCTTAGCAGCCACCAAGTGTTTTTAGAACGTGGGAGCGGCCAAGTGGAGCTTTCTCCCAGCAGGGCCATTGTAGATCCGATAGGCTGGGCAGAGTTTGTAAAAGTTGCTTCTGCAACAACTACCAGTATAGTATGAGAATCTTCACTCTGCTACTGTATAAGTAAGAATTTGTTTTCAGATATGTTCATTTTTAAAGCTATCCTGTTAACAGGGTTTCTGCCTGAAGCGTTGGAGCGACACATAACCTCCCCGACATTTCGGTGATGTTGATCCAACCGGCACACTATATATCTTGCAATGTGGCAAAGTCGGGGCATCTGTGATATCGCCACGAGCACTGGGAAGACTCTCCACTAAGCCTTTGTGAACGAACTGCCTTGAAAGAATAAGTTTCCTTGAGATTAGAGTTGGTCCATCTAGGCTGGTACTGCCTACTTGGTCTAGCAGTCTGTCTCCAGGATCTCAAGTCTTCTATGGTACCTACTTCCTTATTTTAACTGGATACATCAGGAATGGAACCAGAGACCTTTTGCATCCAAACAGGCACATAGCCAGTATTTTTTTTAGTCGGGGGGCATTTAAATTTCTTTGGGGGCACTGGTTCATTGAGTTAAAGGCAATTTGATTAAAGTTAAATAGGGGGAAATAGAGAGGTGCTGTCTGGCTCAATGGGGCCACCGTAGCCGGCCCTTCGTGCCAGACAGCCACGCAGGAATACCTGGCTTTTTCTCTGCACCTGTCGCCGCTCGGTTAGGGATACTAGGGTTAGGATTATTCGGGTTAGGGTTATTAGGGTTAGAGTTAGGGTTGTTAGGGTTTGGGTTATTAGGGTTAGGGATACTTGGGTTAGGGTTATTAGGGTTAGAGTTAGGGTTGTTAGGGTTTGGGTTATTAGGGTTAGGGATACTTGGGTTAGGGTTATTAGGGTTAAGATTAGGATGGTTAGGGTTAGGAGGATTGGGGTTATTAGGGTTAACAGTAGGGTTGTGAACAACAGATGTGAGAACAAAGATTGTGTCCAGGCTATAAGACCTACAAACTGTAATTTCTGGGTATAAATAAGAACACAATGAATTGGCTTGTGTGTTGTGATAAGCAGCCGATACCTCTGTCAAACCCTGGGTGTTCCATTGTCCTGAGTGCTGCAATAACTTGCAATTCCGCAGTCTCCCATTCCAGTCTGTTTCTGAAATTCCTTTGACATGAAACAGCTACTCTGAGTGACCTGGAAGTTCAAAATGTTCTACAGGTTTCTCTGTTTTGTGATTCTTGATGTCAGATGTCAGATTTGTGCCCATTTATCCTTTGGCATAGGGTTTGACCTGTTTGTCCTATATATTTATGTATTTATTTATTTCAATTTATATACCGCTCATCCCTCTTGATATACCGCCGCCACTACACCGCAAGGGACGGGTGGCCCCCCCCCCGCTCTAATAGCAGGTACCCAATTTGTCTATTTGCCCTTTAACGGGCTTTCGAGCCGCTGGGTGGGCGGGAGCTGGGACAACGGGCCGGGAGCTCACCCCGGCCACGGTGGGGCTCGCACAGGCGGAGCTGTTCGGCCAGATGTCATTGCAGGCTTCTCTTACTGCCTGCGCTACCGCTCCAGAGAACTGAGAGGGCATTGTTGACATTTGATGACATATATACTATGTTAGAAGATGAGCAGGTGAATAAGCCTGAGATGGCATAGTTGATGTTATTAGGTCCAGTGACTGTGTTGTCTGGGTATGCGGCAGCAAAGTTGGCATCAGGGTGTGTTGTGAGCTCTGGTACCAGTCTACATGTGAAAATTAGATGCTGTATTATTGAAGTTTGAGACTGGGGGGCTCTCTGTGCAATGGAAATGGTTCCCCCCTTTCTTTATTCAAATCTTCTGGGAGGCACTCCAAATAGAAGGTCATGGCGCTGGAACCAGTGTTTGGACCGGACACTACTGTATGTTATCTTGCAGGGGAC